CCTACGATCATAAACACACCACTCGCCAAATCTAACCGCCTCCTTTCGACTAAGCCGTTCGTAGGTTACACGACATATCCCATCGACAAGCGACTGACTCGCCGTTTCGCCCGTGTCACCGTATAATATATGTAATAAAAATTATTACTACTTTAAATATTTATAATGTTTATGCAATTATTAAACTTTATACTACAGTCAGACCTCCCTAAATGCACGTCGTTGGGACCGGCTCTAGAGCGTGCATTTAGAGAGGGTTGCAATTAGAGAACACTAATAAAATCACAATGTGACTATTATTACGGCTTTAATAGCCTAGGAATAATGGATTTGATTGGCTAATAATCACGTGGATGAATTTAGGGGGAGTTGTATAAGTGGGCCATGAGCCCGGACTTATATCATGCATTTAGAGGGGTGATGCATTTAGGGAGGGTGCATTTAGGAGGGTCTGACTGTATGTATTATTTACTATTAACAAACCTCATATATGTCCCACTCCAATCTACAACAAAACCTTTGTCCACAAAAGTTGTATTATCAGAGGTATTAGTCACATGAGTATATGTTACTAAAATGTATTCATCAAATAATGGGTATACTTGTATAGGGTTTTTATTAGCAACATAGCAATAATTGATATCTGGTATTAATGTAGTATTATCAATATTTATCGGTATAACAGTTCCATTTTCTTGAATAACACGAATTAATAGCCTCCGTTCATAACATATATTATTTCCAGCGACGTAATTCTCCCGAGCTACGCGAACAACTGCTGTACCCAGACTATCTTCATAGTGTCTAATATCTATAATGCGTGGTGGTGCTCTAGTAAGATTAGACTGAACGGATGTTTCCAGATAAGTAATATTGTCATAATTTATAGTATATTGCGTAAATCCTGTTGGTAAAGTGGTCAACAGGAAAATGGTAATAATAATGATTACTAAGTTATCGTTATACGTTAAAGCCCTCATTTCTTTAAATTTGGCATTGAGCATGATTATATCAAGATATCGGGTTTAAATAATTATTTCGGACTATCACAAAAAATATTTACATTTGCTAAATGGATACTACAAATGTAGAAATTTTATCAAGAATACTCGGTTAATTCTTGGTAGTACTACGTCAATGATTAGTGTGATATTGGAATTGGAGCTTAATCTTGAAATAGTTGTTCTATACTACAAAAGCTCAATGGTGTCATAGAATGTTTTGGAAAAGGAAATACGAATACTATTTGGTCTACATACATACCGGTGCAGCTCCACACATTTCGTATACGTACCATTTCACCTAACTCAATTCACCAACGGTTTTGTTATACGTAATGACTAACATATAATTTGAAGTTTTAGAAAATCTAATAAAATTTTTAAAATTAATTTTAGCATTTTAGATCTTTATATTTTAGAATTTTGCATAATAAAATATTGTAAAATTTAGATTAGAATGACATAATAAAAAAATATGTATTGCTTTATATAATATGATATATATATTTTATTTTCAAAACTATATTTTTATAAATTTTATAATGTTTTATTTGTGTAAAATTTTAAGATACCAAAAATATATAACTTTTTTAAAAAATTAAAAATTTTAATTAAACGCAATGGTTCTCAAAAACTTTTAAAATTTTTCTATAAAAGTTTAATCCTATATGCTCTAGAACTCAAAAAAAATAATTTCATTAAATTCTAATGAATGTTTACAATACAGTTCAGAAATACATTGACATAAAAATATTTTATTTATTTTTATTTACTAATGCTAATCGTTATAATAAACGACTTTACTTCTTATGCAAAGACCGATTTGTATATAAAAAAGTTATGGCTATTACATATTGTGAGCCCCGAAATCGGTCACGGTCTCACGTGACCGATCGTCGAAATTAGGTCCCGTCGCCTACCCGAGTAACTGGTCACATGAAAAGTAAGAGAAATCTTACTTTTCTTACTTTTATTACTTTGGTTACTTCGGGTAGAACGACGGTATATGGGGCATTTGGTTTTAAGTTATCATAGTGGGGAAAGGGGTTTTAAGGATGGAATATTGTAAATAGATAATGTAGAGGAAAGTATCCTCGAATGTAAATAAAAGTTTTATTATAAATAAAGGGCTTTCCGCCCAGGAGGAAAGTAACAACGGTACCCCCAAGTAAATACATTTGCTTAAATAAACTTAAAGTATCGGACCCATAGTAAAAGAAAACTATAACCCAACCCAAACTAAAACTATCGTTAAAAACACCGTAATCAACTATCGTTCGCCCATTGTAATTCATTAAAACCGCATTTTGTTCGTTCGTCGCAAGTCACGTGGCCAAGTCGTTAAACGAAGAGAAGGACTCCAACCCCGATTCGACGTATCGTAACCCCAAGTTAAGGAAGTAGAAAGAAGATAAGAGGAAGCAGAGGTTAATAGAAGAATAGGTTGAAGGAAAGACTTAGAAGAAAAAAGTAGTACTTACCTACGGATAAACCACCCTGCCAAATCTAACACGCCTATTTCGACTTAGCTGCCGTAGGTTACACGAGGATTGGAAAGAATTAGCGACAGACTTGCCGATTTGCCACACAACACTATGATCATCAAATTAGCAAAAATTAAAATCCAGTTTAAAAATATGCACAAATTTTGTCTCTCATCGAGGGGGTATTACAAAAAACACTAACAAACACTATACTAATGACATTCGATAAAATACAGATATGGGTATTCTGTCCTTTCCATTTTCTGTACTATACATGTAAACAGTGCAGAGATCAAGAGTATCGATAGAACCCATAATGAATTCTTTTCTAAATGCTATTTCTAAATGTTAATCCTTAAGTACAGAGTAGAATAAAAAAAACCAGATAGTTCTATCTGAAAAAAACCTTACTCTCTATAGAATACTATGTTATGTATACCAAACAAAATTCCTCTTCATGCTAGTTATTTTAAAAACTAAGTTCTTCATGATGTTGTATGCAGTATCTGAGACAAAAGTCAAGTTTGTTAGTATAAAAAAAATTTTTTCTCATGACTGTCATCCTAACAGGTTACCTCTTTTTCGAAACTAAAACATTTACCTTGTGAATGTTGTCCCAACAGGTTACTTTTACTACAGTATCAAATCTTGCTCTGTGACTGTTACCCTGACAGATCACTAAACATAATTATGATCTGATGAATTCTACCCAAATGTGTCTGACTGCAAACTAATTAATTACAACTACTGTCTTCTCAACTGATCATTCTGGTTACATTCTTAAAGCAACTAATTCTACTAAACAAAAGTTGGATAGGGTGAGATAAAAAAACCAGATAAAGTTAGGTCAACAAAAAAAACAGAAACTACTCTATCTAGAGAAAATCTGTTCCTCTTAAATACTACTAACTCTTATTGATCAAAAAAAATATATGTTATTTATATTACTAAAACCAAATAAATTATATGATAACTTGATAAAACCAATTATGCAATAAATAATCAAACAATCAATCAAACAATACATCAATCAAACAATAAATCAATATTGAACATAACAATAGATTATATAATCATTAATCTGTAATTAATTCAAGACAAAATACTGTTCCAATACTTATGTATCAGGAAGTTATTTTTGTCTCTTATTAAGAAGGTATTACAAAAAACACCAACAAACACTATACTAATAACATTCAATAAAATACAGATATGGGTTTTTGAAAAGCATCAGTATGGGACTTATTATACTATACCCAGTAAGATTATAAGCTTTCTGACTAACCAAAGTCTATTAGTCTTGATGCCCTTATCTTAGCAGTACTAACTGCTCTTATATACAGTTATACTGCTTCTAATATAACTTCCAATTGACTGAATTTACTTTATTATCATTTCTTCTTTTATAACTATTATTGCATCTTCAATTCTTAAACTATATGTTGTATATCTACCTTGTAACTCTACATTTTCTGCAAAATGTTTAATTATTATAGAAACAGTTACTACTAATAACTTTTCTCTTGTTCTTAACAAAAATAAAGATTCTTTTGCTGATATATTCGATCTCAATCTCAAATACACATTCAACAATTTTGTTAGATAAAAGTTACTTATCATTCTCTCTATTGAAAAAAACTTGTCTTTTTTTAGCTGATCTGTTTTAGACTTTGAAATTCTAATCCATAGTTTTCTATCCTTCTTCAACATATTAGACATTTTCAGATTATATAATTCTATTAGTCTGCACATTAATCTTAATCCTAAGGCTATCAAGGTTAAGTCTTGAGTCTAAATTTTAATATATATTTTTAGAGATGAACATTCTATATATCATCTAACTGTCCCAACTAGTAAAGAGTCTCTTGATTATTTTGCTTTAATTCTTTTTAGTATTATAACTTTCTTAATTTCTTCTACTATTAAATAAACTGAGCTGATCTTTATTAGATTCTTAAGGTTTCTTTTTTTATACTCTCTAGTCACTGCTGCTAAACAAGTTGGCATTTCCAACATCCTACCTGAAACCTTCAACTATGTCAAAAAGGCTACTAATAGATCTCTTGATACTGAATAAGATATAAAGTCTGTCCAACAAGCAAATCTTTTAAAAACCTCTTATGTTTCTTCTAGTTATTTCTTAAAAATTTTACTAATTAAACTATTTATTAAATAATCGGCTTTTCTAAACAAACTCTGAACCAATCCAGTAGCACTGCTCTTAGGTGTCACTAATTGTTCTTATATGGCTCCAAGTTCTTAGAAAGTTCCAGTAGCACTACCCTTAGATATCACTAATTGTTTCAATATGGCTCCAAGTTTCCAAAAAGTCCTAGTAATATAATTTGCTTTGCTGAGAGAAGATTGATTTTATTTCTAGAAAAGTTTATTATTATTGGTCATCATGGAGCTGAAATCTAAACCAGAACTATTGTAACTATTTATATCCTATATTCCTTTGCATAATATAATTACTTATGAATTTGGCTGAAAGAAAAGTATACTTAATTTCTCACTTTAGCCTAATCCTGTATAAAACAATCTATAGCCTCTAATTCTGAATAAAAATATAGATTGTTGAACTTTTGTTTTTTCAAATTTAGATGACTTGCAAATTCGTTTACTTAGAATTCTCTCCATACCAACTCCAACTGGTCTATTATTTCTGAATTTAGTATCCAATCCTCTGTATTAGGCACTCTTGTCAGGAAATCTGCCAGATTTAATTTTTAAGACACCCATTGCATACTAAAAATTAACATGTCACTCTTCACATAAACATCCTAAATTTGTCTCATAATATCTTTTTGACACTCTCTAGACCTTTCTTTACAACTGTCTTTAAGACCACTCTGTTGTTGATAAACAACATAATCCAAGTTCCTTTTAACATCTTCTTGAACAATTGAAGTGTTTTTAGTATTACCAATATTTTTAACTGTATGATGACCTTTGATGTATAAGAATATGACCAGCTTTTTGAAACTTTGTAATTGCGAAAAATTTCATATTACCTAATTACAGATGCATCTACATAGACTGCTCTTATCTGAATTAGTTTCTAACTTGCCTAGTCATTCTACCCCTTTAGATTCCTTACTAACCAATGCATATCCTTGACTACATGAGAGAATAATTAAATTTCATTGTTCCACTCTCATGTACAACAATTTTGTGTATCTATAAGACTATAAAACTCTATATATTTTACTTAGATTGAAAGAAATGCTCTTGACAAGCTTATGATTTTATCTACTACTTATGCCAGACTTTTTGTTATTACTGTTGACATTCCTAATAGAGGCTTCAATCTCAAAATCATTGATACAATCTTTTCTTCTGATACAACTATACAATTATTCTACATATCTACAATTATTTTACAGAACTTTAAAGTTTGTATTGTGTTCCAGCTTTCTTTCTCTTCAGCTTTGGTCCAACCAGACTTTTCTAAATTGATTTTTACTACTTTCTTTCTTATTCTGATCAATTTTTCTTTTATTGGATAAACTACTTATACATCATTCAAATAATATTCACAATATATTCCTTGAGTTCTCTATTTTCTGATTAGAGCTCTTATCAATTTTGAAAAAACCCAAAGGATTTGATTTAATTCAAAGAGTAGGACTCTGTAATGATACTAGTTCTCTTTTATCACTAAATCCAACAATCTCTGTGCTTCAGCATTTATTAGAACATAATAATAGTCATTCTTTAGATCGAGTGAGATTAATTACCATCTCTATCTGATTGTTTAGAGTAGCATCTTCAGCCCTTTAAAGTGAAAGGTTTTTTGTAGTAAAGTTCAATTTAGACTTCTCAAGTTCACCACTAGACAAATTTTCTAGAGCTCTGTTTTGAAATCAGAAAAACTGAACTCACTTCCAGAAGGTCTGCAGGATGAGAACTTTCTATTGAGACCTTTATAATTATTCTTAATGTCTTCAAACATACCAACTTTTTTTCCAACAAATTCTCTTTTTTTTGTACAAACTGATAAGACCTTAGATCTGGCTCACATATTAAATGAATCAAGTTTTTTGTAAATAAAAGAATCATTTCCTTTAACCATCTTAATACCAATTGTGATGGTTTTACAACATTTTTCCAATACCTCATTACTTTCTGACTGAGAATTCTTTCTATCACCTGAACCTTTATACACTTTATCTCTTTTTTTGCAACCTTTTAAATGTTGTCAACTATTCTTTGATCAGGTACCATCTTTATGAAAGAACAAACTAATATATTTTCTAGAACTACACTCATTGGTATAATGATCTTTTCTTTATATATGTAATAAACTACTTCACTTCTCTTGAACCCCTATCTTTATCAACCCTTTTCGACCACTGTGATGCTAAACAATACCCTTAATGCTATACTGGTAATAACATACCTGTTTTTGAACCAAAATGCTGCATTTGCACTAAATATGAGTTTAGTTAAAAAGTTTGTACAGAAGGTGTTATAAAACCTCAAACTGATCCTGTGACCCCAATTGTGGATCATGAATTGCTGCTAAACACCTGCCTAGTATACAAAAGATTAAATTAGTGCAACCTGAACTGAAGACCCTTGCAGAACTGAGATCTGTAACTAAGCCTGCTCAAAATGAGAATAGAAAGATGTTTTTATACTTTTAGCTTTTGGAAAATGCTGTGTTACCAATTGATACTTTTCTGTTTACTTCCCAATAATTGTAATATCAGATCCAAAATATCTTTAATAGCTATTTTCAATACTACATTCCAACCATCCTCATCAGCCATCCTAATAACATAGGCTCTATCTAAAGCTATTTACCTCATCAAATATATATAACTCAAATCTTCTGATACCAAGACCTTATCTAATAACACTTCTGCTTTACATCATTTATTATATGCCCACTGGTTATATTGCTTCAATAATTCACACTTCACCCACAAACCCCTATACTTAAGGTTGTTTAAGTTTAGTAAACTTACCTCTGCTCTATAACTCTGTTTCTATACATAACTTGACATGAAAATTTATCCTGAAAAGACTTATCTATTATAAATGCCTACTGAATTACCTTCTATAATTGACTGTTGCCTCTTGTTGTCTGACAACTGAAATGCTTCAAGATCATCCAATAAATCGTTTCAACTTCTCATATACTGTGGTTACACTTCTTTTACTTTCCCTATTGTACCACATTCACTTGTGAGCTCTTCAGAACCTACTCATGTTTTACCTTCCTTCATCAACCTAGCAACAATTTCCTGCTTCTGTACAACTCCGATAGGCCCATCCCATGATAAACAAATCTCAAAACCTCTACAGATAACCATTGAAGGCTTGATTCCATGTCTACTGCATCAGCATCACATGATATGATGACCAGGTCTAATTTCTTATTCACTGTCAACATTCCAATACACAACAAATCTTATTACCTGCAAGGTTTACTTTAACACATTTTTTACTATGAATGTTTTCAGAAATTTAAGTAACAACCAGTAATAGAAAATCCAGAAAAAAAGTTTATTAATACAGGTATAGTATGAAAAAACCAGACAAAGTCGGGTTAGCAGAAAAAACAGAAACTATTCTATCTAGAGAAAACCCGTTCCCCTTAAATACTACTAACTCCTACTGATCGAAAAAAAAATAAAATAAATATACGTCATTTATGTCACTAAAGTCAAATAAATCATACGATAACCTGATAAAACCAATTACGCAATAAATGATCAAACAATCAATCAAACAATACATCAATCAAGCAATAAATCAATATCGAACATAACAATGGATCGTACAATCATTAACCCGTGATCGATCGAGACAAAATGCTGCTCCGATACTTACGTATCGGGCAGCTGTTTTAAGTTTATGTGTGCTGCGCCACTGCGCGTATCCAATTTACATCACTGGTTGGATCATCGTGATTATTGAAATTCCGGTAATCAATGTCAGGGGAGTGTATTTTGCTGATCTTTTTTTTTCTGATAGAAAAAAAGAGAAAATAACGAATTACACTATAACATCTAACCTTCCTTCAAGTCATGATTGAAACTGATTAATTTTTGTATCATTTCGATTCGTTTCAGTAAAATGAAAAAATGTAACCGCGTCAAAATACCTTCCACTTCAAATACCAGACTCTCCCTTATGTTTTTACTATTATTTCACTATTATTATCGTTGATCTATAAAAAAATTCAATTAATGGTTGTCACTATACACCTGTATTATGTTTGTAAATAGGCTTGAACATAGTGACACCTTGTAACGGCGAGTCAGTCGCTCCTCAATCGGATACGTCGTGTAACCTACGAATGGCTTAGTCGATAAGAGGTGGTTATATTTGGCGAGTGGGGTTAAGATCGTAGGTATGACTTCTTCCTCTACTTGTCGATATGGCTTACTAACACACTAACTCTTGCACTCACTATCTACTATTATTATAACTAAAACCACGGCTGGGACCTTCCACTTGGACCTCAAACCTGAATACAATAACCTTAACTATCCACGGCACATTGGGAGAGTTAGAAACAACCACGGTAGTCCTCAGTACGTTGAGAATCAACCGGACAGAGTAACGGTACACTTTACAATATCATGTGAGCAAGAATACAAGAACGACGATCGTACCACTTATGCTACTTAAGCAGTAGATTGAAAGGTAAGCATTTAATTATAACGTAGGAATTTATTTGAATCTCGAACTATAGATCACTTCTTTCGTATGGCTCGAAACCTTTATTATATACTTTCTTTTACAAAGACACATTATTACTTATAATGACTATACTAATTAAATGTTTATACTGATTATACTAATTATGCACTTTACCCACTGATTCCCCTTATTACACTGATATCCAGATGCAGAGTATACAAAGTATACTGCCGGTAAACCCATTTTCGGTAAAAGATTGACACCCGTTCTGTGCCACATCGGTCACCGTATTCCACGATTACCATCCTGCGACTCGCAATAGATGTACGCGATTTTTTTCAGTGAGCGAAAAAAAATACTCAAAACATATAAACAAGTTTCTTAAGTCACTGGATATCTCTGAAACTTCCATTCCAGTGATAAAAAATCTTCACTGGAAGCTGCTATACCTCCAGCTAAGTCCAGTTCCACTGGAACGTTTCAGCAGGTAATACAATATCAGTATAAATGTATCATAACTCATTTTTGTTATACGGTACCGAACTTTTGATGGAACATCTTAATCGATATAAATTCTTTACTGTAAACACCTTCAAATTAATTATATATCATCACATGAATCTATACATTTCAAAGCTTTCAATAATTTTTAACACCTACAGAATAAATTTCCATTGATCAAACCGACATAAATTATACAACTTTACCTAACATAATCCATACATGATAATTTAAGGAAATTAATAATACAGTAATATCAATATTGATTATACAGCCAATTATATAAATATTTCAACAATAAATTTTAATATTAATAATATTTTAAACTTTTATACATGTAATTATATAAACTATTTACTAATAATATTTTCAACTAAATGTTCCGTATAAATTTTTTGATTATATTTCATTAATGAGTTAACCCTACTGGCCATCATTTTAACCAGCTATATCCGTTTCACTAACGTCATTAACGTCTGGTCCATTCACTTGTTCATCATTTTTCTTTTTTTGTAAATGACTTAAATAAGGCGAAAATGCCTTAAATTTAATAAAGAAAATTTTACTAATTACGCTGGAAAGTATTGAGATACCTGACGATGCTAAGGTGAATGGCGGAATGGGATCAAGTAGGACGCTAGAAGTAATGAATAATATCTAATAAAATTCATATTGTTAGCAAAATTACATATAATATTTATTAATTTTATATTTATTTGATTTTGATTTTATTTAAAACATACCTGGATAATGAATTGTGGTATATCTGACAAAAATATGTCAGCGCATGCACCCCAAAAGATTATTTTCAATGACTTATCGTTAAATGGTGCATTGAACGTCTTAAGTCCCGCCAAACACGATTTTAACATTAATAATACATCAATATTCGTGCCAGATAATAATGCAATCGTAACAGCAACTCTTCCATGTCTAGCAAACCATCTGACATATTTCCTCTCATTATCCTCATCATCATATTTAATATCCTTCTGATAGCCAATTTCATTATCTTTTTTATCGCCCTTTTCATTATATTTCTTATCTCCGTTTTCATTATATTTATTATCTCCGTTTTCATTATTTTTCTTATCTCCATTTTTATTCTGGCTCTGATCAGAAAACAATACCCAAAATGCTAGAAATAAGTTGATTGCGGTGGGGACCACTAAAACTGTCATACTAATTATATGAAAAATATAAATTTAATGACAGATGATTATCAAATATTATTTGAGTAATATAGAATCTTACCTCGGTATAAAAAGATATGGGATGGATTTGGAATCAAGAATAATAAATGCTGTGAAGGTGCCAAAACGAAACAAGGCAATACCAAGTTGGAGAATGATAAAGTTTTCGCTCTATATATTATTGTGTGTATATTAGACATTAAGAAAAAAAGTAACGAAAAAAATTTGAATTATTTTAACTAAATAAAAATCAGTACTTCTTCATATTCTGGTTCTTTTCCTGTTTCTTTGGCTTTTTGTATGGCTCTGGCTTTATCACGTTTAGTTATTCCCAAAGCTCCAAGGAATGCTAACGTGAAAAATGCTATGATTAAAAACAATACAATGAACTTTGTCTTGTGTAAGTTAAAGTATTCTGCTATGCTTACTATAAAAAGAGATAGATAAAATTAATTATTTAAATTACACAATAAATAAATCATAAATATATATATATATAGTTCTTACTAGCTGGGTGATATCCATAAGTTTCATCTAGATAAGATGTATAAGATCCTGTTAATATATTCGTATAATTTTTATATCGTACTAACTGGTCTAAATAGTCCCGTATGTTTGTAGTAATCATTTTGTCATCATTATTTCTTTTCTCATAAATAGCAATCGATATAATAACTTTCGATAAATCGGATGTATCTAATTGATAATTTTCAGTTGTACCCAACCTCCCTCTCTTTGTAGGAATTCTATCTATAAGTTCGTCTATCAAAGAATAGGTAAAGCTACGTTTTGCATCGCTGCTCAACCCTTGAAAACGCTTAGTTCCATCGGCTGTTAGTCGCAATGATCCATAGATGTTATCTAATTAAATCATAAATTTAATATTCATGAATATCAATAAAGATCAACTTTATAAGTTTATATTATATTACCAGCGCGTTGTCCACTATTTGAATCACCTATCAATTGATGAAATTCAAATGTTAATAAATAATCTTAAATAAACTAAATTATTGCAATTATATAAAATCAACCTGTCGCAAAAGTCCATACATTCGGATAAATTCCCATTATAGGTTCATTATATTCTGCGCTCTTTATAAAATTATTATCCACCGCTATATAATAACTCCCAAGAGGATCATTGAAAGTACAAGTAAAAACATCAATTGTGATGACATTGCCTGAAACATTGCATTGGGTACAAGTTCTCGCATTAAATTTCAATCGAAGAATGCTGTTCCCACTAATGTTTTGATAGATATTTAAATTGCCTTCATTGAGTGCGATAGGATCTTGATACGTAATGGAAATCCTGAGGGTATTTACTGTTAGATTCCTAACACCTATTTGAGGATACGTTGTGTTCACATGTAAATTGCCATAACCAGTATCTATAAGATATGAGCATAATTATTGTTTAGATAATTTCATTGCCATGCTACTGTATTAAATTAAAAAAAAATTTACCATTATACTGGGAAAGTGCTGGCAAGTCGATTGAAAGAATACTCCAAGAAGTGATCGTTTCATTTAGTACCACTAACATCTTATTATTGTTCAATATATCATAGGCGCTATACACATTTCCAACAATAGGTTTCAATGGAAAGCTATAATTGGATTGTTGATCATATTCATTGTAAAGATCAAAAGAGAAACTAAAACTTTGTACGGTATATTGCCGAGTTATTAATGCGTATCCTCCAAGAGGTAGTGTTTTAATTATCGGTAAAGTATTGTTGGATTTTGGAGTTATTGGATCCAATGACAAAACAGATCCTGAAGAAAGAAACCGTATTCTCACATAAAATGTGTCTGTGGTTGTAGTGGTAGTAGGTGGAGCTGATATAGTGGTGGTAACTGGTAAGACTGTTGGTGGAGCACCCACAGGAGTCACTGTAGTTGTGACAACGGTAGTAGTAACATTCGGAACTTGATTGGTTTGCGTACGTACTACAGCCGCAATGCATGAATGGCCAATGAAAACGTGGTCGACAGAACAATATATGCTAGTAAATGTTAAGTTCTGAATTGGCATTTCATATAAAATAATTTGTCGAGGTGTCTTTTCTTGATTATAATTCAACATAATAGCATATATTCCTGCATCCGCGGAAAATGGAGCGATTGTCGGATTGGTTAAATTTACATTTCTAACGGTGGTATTAGCATATACAAGCGCGTATCCACCGTTTAAAGTTGCAAATACGGTTACTTGAAAGCTGGTAAAAGGTGCATTTTTGACACTATCACTTTGTATTAAACTGAATTGTCCATCGCCAATGCTGAAAAGGAAATAAATTTAAATATTGTACATATGTTGTATACATCATTAACAAATGGGGGCTTTGCTAGGAAAATAACACTCCATGACTATGTGGATTTTGTTGACTAACAAATTGAAGTTTTATCAAGTCTACATAGTTTTCGAGGATTATTCTCCTAGCAAAGATCTCAAATACAAGAACACAACATACTGTTCATATTGTCTCCATCCGAAATCACCTGTTCCCTTAACCGTGGATAAATACAAAAATCCCTTACTTGGAATAATATTATTTATTATGTATGAATTTGGTAGCCATTTGCCCTGGATCAAAAATGATGGTCCAAAATCAAGTGTACTGCCGTATAATATATGTAATAAAAGTATTACTACTTTAAATATTTATAATGTTTATGCAATTATTAAAATTTATACTACGTATTATTTACTATTAACAAACCTTATATATGTTCCGTTCCAATCTATAACAGCACCTTTGTCCACAAAAGTTGTATTATCAGAGGTATTAGTCGCATGAGTATATGTTATTAAAATGTATTTTTCAAATAATGGGTATACTTGTATAGGATTTTTAGAAAGAGTAAAATAGTTAACATAGCAATAGTTGATATCTTGTATTTCTTGTATTAATGTAGTATTAACAATATTTATCGGTATAATAGTTCCATTTTTTTGAATAACACGAATTAATAGCCTCCGTTCATAACATCTATTAATGCCAGAGATGTAATTCTCCCGAGCTACGCGAACAACTGCTATACCCAGATTATCTTCATAGTGTCTAATATCTATAATGCGCGGTGGTGCTCCAGTAAGATTAGACTGAACGGATGTTTCCTCATAAGTAATATAGTCATAATTTATAATATATTGTGTAAATCCTGTTGGTAAAACGGTCAACAGGAAAATGGTAATAATTATGATTACTAAATTATCGTTATACGTTAAAGCCCTCATTTCTTTAAATTTGGCATTGAGCAAGATTATGTCAAGATATCGAATTTAAATAATTATTTTAGACTATCACAAAAAATATATTTTACTTTTGTTAAATGGATACTACAAATGTAGAAATTTTATCAAGAATACTCGGTTGATTCTTGGTAGTACTAACGTCAATGATTAATCAATATATTTCTGCATGGTGTGCTTAATTTTGAAATGGCTGTTCTATAAATAATTAAAATCAATGGCGCCATAGATATATGCAGAATATTTTGGAAAAGGAAATATGAATGCTACTATGCATTTGATATACTGTACATACATACATATCTAACACGAAAAATTTTGACTAAGGAAACGTTTACTAAAACTGTTACATAATTCAAAGTAGCAATAACTTTATTATTTGGCGGACAACAAATAATCACATTTTATTAAAAAAACAAATCTTAAAAATCCTCTAACTTCTAATATCTTTATGAATGCAAACTTATTGATGTTTGGTAAAAAATAAATAACATTAAACCGATTTTAATCAAAAAACAACCAAATTACCGACAATCATTTCCATGGCACCTAATTCCTACCAACACTAACTCAACCAACCCTTAACTTCCGGAGAAATGATTGTGTACCACTAAAAAAATAAGATTGTCTCATACGTAATACAAATATAAATACTTTTAGAATTTTTGGACATATATTTCTCAAAAAAATATGAGAGTAATTCGGATTAGTGGGATTAGTGTTAAATATATGCTTTGTAAATTTTCATGAACTCTAAAATATATTTAGCTTTACACAATTTCATATTGACTAACAATACACAAAACTGAATATTCTTGGCACATACGTATGTACATACATTGCAAGGGTGGTTGAATGTTAATCTATTCTAAAAAAATCTCATATGAGAAATAAAAAATACTTATAAGTATAAATCAATTCCTCTTTCATTTATACGATTTAATGATAGGATCATACCGGATTCTAAGAAGTACATACCGATACGTACGTAATTACGATAATGGACATGTAATAATTTTAACAATTTAAAGTAGGTTTACTTTGTAATACGTACGTACAAAATCACAAATTCTATATCTATATATATTAATCATTATATATAATAATATCTTGGTTACAATAAAACAACGCCATGCGTAAACGCGGAGTTACTTCTAGAATGCGATGTTACTCAAACTATTTGGACGTCCCAAACTATGGATGAATTATATCGAATGAGGCATTTACCTAATAGTTTGGGTAACATCGCTAGTATAGAAGCATATGAATCATTTGCAGTCATAAAAATATGATTTACAAGTTATGCATACGTACAATTCAATACGTACTTTTATAACTAGTGATGCGCAAATTAGCATTTTGTTCAAATTTCATACGCATTATGCGAACTGTCCTAGCGTTACCAACCTAAAAATTTCGCTGACCAATCAGATTTCAAGATCAGGTGCTACACAGAAGAAACGCAAAATTTTCATAACTCAACATTTTACCTACATTTGCGCATTAACAAAAAGTTTTCCTTGCGAAATTTTAGTGTTAGAATAATTTTTCCTAACTGAAATTAATAGCAAAATCTAACCCTAATATAGCCGGTAACGCTAGGTAGTTCATTATGCGCATAGAATTCTGGCCCGCATTATGGTTGCTTGCTGTTAATGCGGGCCAGAATTATGGAATTCCAAATATTCCGAAACCCGAAATACCAATGCGTATGATTCACATAGTGGTACCGCTCACTTCACCGACACTCATATCGTAGACATAACATTTCACCAAACGATATGTTTTATTTCACCGAAACTCATTTCATCAACAAAATAATTCTACTCATTGTTGTTAGGGTCAGGTTGGAATTGTCTGTGTGTGAAATAAAACATGTCGGCGAAGTTTTTACGGTAAAATGTTATGTCTGCGAAGTGATCGCTCATCGAAGGGTGAACGAATAAAAGCAATTATGGTTATTCTGTCCCTTTCGCTTTTGTGCCATACCTAGTGATGGGCAATGCGCATGATTTTTATAATGCCGGCGAAGCAATATAATGCTGGTAGATAATATGAGCCGGAAATTTTCAATAGGTTCCGGAATATTCCGAAAACTCATAAAGATTCTGAATAATTCCCATGCGCATGAAATGAGAAAAAATTGGAATTTGCACATCACTAGCCATACCCAGTAATAGTGCAGAATTTGGGAGCATCATTCGAATAACCTAAACTTACTGGATCTGTTTTACTTCCTATTTCAAGGAGGGAACGAACAGTGCCAGACAACTTATCAGGAAAAAAAACTCTTATTCCTTCCTTGAAAAAAATATATCAAAAAAAAGGCAACTTTCATGACTGTCGTCCGACAGGCCATAAGTTACTATCAGCTAAAACAATCGCGACAGGCCCACAAGCTTCACCTCTATGCCACCGCGAAATCACGCATGAGGGCCGTGAAGGGGCGGGACGAAAAAAACAGACAAAGTCGGGTAAGCAGAAAAAACACGTTATCTTTTCTGGGAAAAAATAGCATGATGGAAGTTCTGCTAAAAATATGCAACTTGCTGATCATTCTTATTAGATTGTGATTGGCCAGTATAAGTTCTATAAATTTCTACACCATTTGATATTAAGTTATCACGAATTTCATCACGTAAAAGTTTGTTGCTTGCTGGCTCAAAGTTTTGCAGTAGTAAATCATTCCGTAATTAAATCTTGTGGCCATCAAGTTTGTCTTATCAGGTTTCATTTGGAACAAGCCTTTGAATAAGTTTTGTTGTGGTCTTGCAGTTACACTTACCAACCAAATCCCAAACTATTATAGTTTGGGTTTGTCCGCCCAAATCCCAAACCCAAGCCCAAACTAATATCTTAAAAACTTTATTAATAATCTTTATTTAAACAAATGATATATATTCCTATTAGAGATGGGTTCGTAACCGAACCCATCTCTAATTCCTATAGTTATATATAATATATTTACAAAATATTAAAATTACTTTGTTGATTTAATTTTTTATAAAAGCAATTTGTTTTATTTGTGATTTGGGAATTTGTCCAGCAAGTATACTTGCAGTGGTCTTATTGTGGGCAGTAATCTTGCTGTGATCAAGCACTGTGGTTGTGTTTTGTTATATGTAAGTTTTTTCTAATGTATTATTATTTTGAATTTTATTATATGTAGTTGAGTTTTTTGTATTTAAAAGGTTTCATTTTGATTAAGTTCTGCTATATTCAAGCATTGCTGTAACCAAGTTTGGCTAACTAAATTGTATCTTATAAGTTTTGTTGTATTTAAATTTTACCAAAATAGGTTTTATTTTTTTCAAAAGAAAAATTTAATTGTTTGTAATATTTATAATTAATTATTTTTTAAAAAAAAATTATGAAAAACTATTAATATAATGATTAAAAATTTTTTTGGTTCTTGTTTAGTTATTAATATAATGATCAAAAATTTTAATTTTTCTTTAGCTATTAATTATATAAATACTAATAGTAAGTTTTATATAATCATAAAACTTGTATATAAAATTATTATAGTAAATAAATGTTTTAAAAATATATTCTTATTATGAAATTAGAAAGTAATTTTGTTCACACCTCACCTTTTTTTTTTTGAGTATCACTGTTGCTTTTAGCAAACTAGGGGCACAGTTGGCACTCTTTATTAAAGTATTATTATATTAAAATAATTATGAACAATCTAGATACATTTTAGATATTTACAG